AAACTGGAAATATGGTAAACCTACAGGAATGCAGCCTAGCAGTATGTAGAGCAGTGCCCAGCAGGTAAGTCTGTGGAAGGGAAGGGGCAGGGTGGGGAGAAGGAAGGGGGTTGCAGATCGAGGCCCCCAAGGTGAGGGAGGGAGTAGGGCTGGGAATGGGGCCCTGGGGCCGGTCATGGTACAGAACTGCAGGTGGCTCATCCAGGGCCATGGCTCCCCACTGCTGTGTGCACCCCCAGGAGAGGTATGGGGGCTACGTGCCTCCCAGATTAATGGACAGCCTGCCTCTGCCCCACACACAGTGGGCTGGGGCTCTGTGCCCTGCTGCCTTTGCCCTGGGAGCCGGATACTGGCTGTGCGTCCCCTGCCTGCCGAGCGGTGGGAGGCACAATATGGCATTGCGTGGCTCCCAAGGCAAAGGCAGCAGGGTGCTGAGTCCCAGCCCGCAGCAGGCAGCTTGCCTCCACCCTGCACACATCTGCCCCCTATGCTTCCCCTGGGGATGCAGTGGTGGGTAGCCGCCCCCCCCACCTCACGCCCCTGGACAAGCCACCTGTGACTTGGTCCCACAACCTGCTCTGGCCCCAGGGCCCCATTCACCCCAGCACCCAGCCCTGTCCCACTTTGTTCCTCAATGTGGGGGCCTTGATCTGTGTCCCCCCTTCCTATCCTTTCCATAGACTTACCTGCTGGGTGCTGCTTTACACACCTCCAGGCTGTGTTTTTGTAGAGCTATCATAGTTAGTTTCAAAAGAGAGGACACCTGGGGGGGTAGTAATATGATTGTGGGGGGAAGAGAGCAGCATTATGCCCATGTCCTGCCTCCCACTCCCAAGCCACAGCATCCCCAGCCCTGCTGCTGCCCCTCACTCCTGACCTACAGTATTCTCTATCCTGCCAGGGCATTCCAGGGACCCCTCCTCCCCAGGCTTCAAACCCCACACCCACCCCCCAACCTGCATAAATTTGAGTTTTTAGCTGTGCAATTAAAATCACAATTAATTGTGACATTTAATTGCGCACCTAATCACGATCAAGTTTTTTAATCGTTTGACAGCCCTCCTTAATCTAGGCCCCTTGTTCTGGATGGGACAGAGCAGGGATGAAAGAGGGATGCCCGGAGCTCTGGCTACTAGGCCGTGCTTCCCCAGTGACAAGCTCCAGGGCCAGCTGCTTTCCCGTCCGGCTACCAGACCTTTTCACAAGAGCAAGCGGCCGCCCCACACTCCTGCCAGCCGCCGGCTGCAGTGCTCCCAGCTCCCGTTCCTCTCCCGCCAGGCGCGACGGGCTGTGGCGGCCGGCTCTGGCCAGCGCTGCTGCGAAGCGCCCACGAAGAGGGAGGGCACAGGCAGTGCGGAGAGGCGGCGAGCGTAACCGGGGCCGGTTCCGTTTCTTGGCCCGCCGGAACCGAGGAACAGGAGCGCGCCCTCACTCACCTCCTCCCGGGCTCCTTACCGCCGGAAGCGGCCCCGCCCCTGCGCGAGCACTTCCGGCCCCGTGCCCGCCCTCTTGCCTGTGGGTTGCGCCGAGGGGGGTTGCGGCCAAGCCTCGGCAGGCCCACGACGGACGCAGACGAGCAACCTGGTCGGCCTGCAGGGCCGCCAGAGCCGAATGCCGAGCCCAGAGCGGGAAGCCGGGTTTGGCGTCCGTTTCCTGGTGCTGACTAGAAGTTTCCCCCCAGGTTTCAGTAGGTAAAGGGCGTCTGCTGGCGAGCCTCAGCGCAGCCTGGCACCGCGGCCGAGACCCGTGCGTGGGGGACAGTTCCAAGGTAAGAGGGGCAGGGTCCAGAATCCATACCCTACAGTACGATGAAGAACGAGCCAGAGGATCACGCCAAGCCACAAACATAA